AGCAACAGCGGTTCGAGTCCAGCCCGAGCTGAGCAGCCGCTGAGCTGCCAACAGGTAGCAGGATGGCTCAGCTAAAAAAAAAAAACAAAAAAAAAAACACAGAATCCAGAAAGCAATGAACACATGAGTCCTAAGAACCTGGGGAGATGACTAATAAAAAGGAAGCCAGAGCTGTATTCTCAGCACCGCTCTAGTCAAAGATTTGAATTCGTGATCTGCTAAGAAGAGGCCTCATCACATATGTTAGACAGAACAAGGATTCAGGACTCTTGTCACACCAAAACTAACAAAACAAAATGTGAAAGGATAGGAAGGCCTGAGCTGGCAGAAGTGCAACAAAGCTGAGTTGACAAGGAACTTGACGTAATAGTAAGAACTAATATTATTATAAGTTCACCATGCGCCAAGACACTATGCTACAGCTGTGACAGAAATTATCTCAGTCTTTCCAATGATCCTATGACACAGGCATTATTAATACCATTTTGTTGATTGGGCAACTGAGGCTCAGAAGTTCATTAAAGAGCTCCAAAAGCAACATAATTGGGATGTGGTAGAGCCAAGGCTCAAATCCAAGTCTTTTTAACTTACAAAACCAATTCACCAATTCAGACTGCATGAAAACTATAAATAGATGCATCAAGGTAGGTCATGGTCCCTTCACTGCACCTTCATACGGCTGGCTAGTCAATATTTATCAAGGCTCTCTCTGTGCAAAGCACTGCACTACGAGAATATCTAAAAATGAACCTGGACTACCACTTCCAGGAAGACAGATGTACATTTCCCTATTCCTCCCATCAAGAATAATTAAAACCCTGAATATTATATTAAAACAGACATAAGAAAGCTCTGAAAGGGGCCGGCCGAGTGGCTCAGTTGGTTAAGAGCACAAGCTCTGAGCAACAGGGTCGCCAGTTCGATTCCCACATGGGCCAGTGAACTGTGCCCTCTACAGCTAAGATAGTGAACAACAGCTCGACCTGGAGCTGGGCTGCTATGAGTTGCCCGCGACGGGTGTAGGCTGCAGTGGGGCTGGCCGGCAGCTGGCGTGCGCTTTCATGAGCTGCCATGAGCGGCCGTCCAATGGCCAGCGAGCAACTGCCTCAGCAGGGAAGAGAGCAATGATAATACCAACATGGGCCAGTGAAGCGACGTCCTCCACAACTAGACTGAAGAACAAAAGGACAGCAACTTGTCTGTTCTCCTTCTCCGATTCCCCAATGCTGTTCCCCTCCCCCAATTCCCCAATTAAAAAAATAAAATAAAATAAAAAAAGATATTCTCCAAGGAAAAAAAACAAACTAAGAATTTGTGGCTAGTGGACCAACCCTAAAAGAATGGTTAAAGAAAACCTCCTTTCTCTAAACCATAAAGGAAATGATGAAAGAAGAAAACCCTGGAAAGAATCAGGAAGGAAGGAGAAGGTAAGCAATATTACTATTTCCTTCTCCTCTTCAGTTTTCTTAATTATGTTTTGATGGTTGAAGCAAAAATTAGAACACTTTCTGATGTGGTTCTAAATGTGTAGAAAAAAACAGTTAAAATTCTATTACAAATGGGGGAGGATAAAAAGATGAAAAGAAGTAAATTTTCTATAATTCATTAGAGCTGCTAAAATGACAATACCAACAGACTGTGATAAATTATGTGTGTATATATAATGTAATATCTAGAACAATAATTATAAAAGCTCTACAAAGAAATACACTCAAAAACACTATACATAAATCAAAATAGAATTCTAAAAATTATTCAAGCAACCCAGAGGAAGGCAGGAAAAACAGAAAACAGAGAAATGAAAAATAAAGAAATAGACAACAAAAATTAAGATGGCAAACTGAAGCCATGATCTATCAATGATTACACTAAATGTAAATGGTCTCGTTAAAGGATAGATTGTGGAAAAGAGAATTAAAAAATATATCCAGCTATCTATTATCCACATGAAACTCATTTTAAATATAATAATACAAATAACTTGAAAGTAAAAAGACAAAAAGAAATACATCATGCAAACATTAATCAAACAAAATCTGGAGTGGACAATAAAGTAGACTTCAGAATAAAGAACATTACCCGGGACACTGAGAGATATCATACAATAAGGGTCAATCCACCAAGAAGACATAGCAATCCTAAATGTCTATGAACCGAATAACAGCTACAAAATATCTAAAGATATTTAGATAGAACTGATAAAACTGAAATGAGAAGTAGACAAGTAACAATTATGAGACTTTCAACTTCTGTCTCGCAACAACTGATAGAACAATTAGACAGGAAATGAGAAAGACACAAATATCAGAAACAAGGAAATATCACTTGACCTACAGACTTGAAAAGAATAATAAAATACTACAAACAACTCTATATACATACATTTGAATTTATGAAGAATTTAACAGGGGGGAGGGAGGCTGTCACTTTCTGAGGGGTGAAAAGGATAACTATTGCATTGTTTTGTACACCATAAACTAATAAAAATAATAAACAAAAAATAATTTTAAAAAAAAGAACTCAACAATACCGTCAACCAACAGGAGCTAATGATGCTTTTAGAACTCTCCACCCAACAACAGAATATACTTATTTTTCAAGCCCATTAAACATACATCAACATAGACCATATCCTAGGCCATAAAATAAACCCAAACAAATTTAGAAGAATTGAAACCATAGAGTATGATCTCCAAACACAATGGAGTCAAACTAAAAGTCAATAACAGAAAGAAGAAAATCTCCAAACACTTATAAACTACACAAGGTATTTCTAAATAAACCATGGGTCAGAGAGGAACTCTTGAGGAAAATTTTTAAAAATATACTGAACTGAATAAAAATTAAAATGGAATATATCAAAATTTGTAGAACAGTTAAAAGCAGTGCTGAGAGGGAAACCTACAGCATTAAATGCCTACATTAGAAAACAAGAAAAGCCTCATCAATAATCTAAGCTCCCCACCTCGACAATTTAGCAAAATAAAGCCAAAGCAAGCAGAAGGAAATAAAAAGCAAATATCAATGAAATGGAACACAGAAATATAATAAAGAAAAATCAATGAATGAAAAAGCTGATTCGTTGGAAAGATCAATAAAAGATCAACAAAACTGACAAATCTCTAGCAAGACTGGAAAAAAGAAAAAGATTAGACGCAAATATCAGAAAAACAACAGGGAATATTACCTGACCTACACACTTCAAAAGAATAATGAAATACTACAAACAACTCTATATACATAAATTTGACATGTTAGATGAAATGGGCCATTTCCTCTAAAACTACACCCAACTCATCCAATAGGAAATAATTTTAATAAACTTGCAATTTTAAAACTCTCCCTCAAAAAAGTCTCCAGGTCAAGATGATTTGATAGATTTATACATTCTACTAAATGTATACGGAACAAGTAACACCAATTCTATGGGCCAGCAGAGTGGCTCAGTTGGTTTAGAGCTCACTCAAGAGTGCAAGCTCTGAGCAACATGGCTCAGCTTAAAAACAAACAAACAAACAAACAAAAAACCCAATTCTATACAATCTTTTCAAAAATTGAAGAGGCAAGAATGCTTCCAATTCATTTTATGAAGTGCCTCTGATACAAGTATCAAAGATAGTACATAAAAAAGACAATAGCTGACCATTATCCCTCATGAATAGACACAAAAATCCTTAACAAATTATTAGCAAATAAAATTCAGAAATATATAAAAAGAATTATACACGTGGCCAATCAGGGTTTATTCCAAGGATACAAATGCTCATTCAAATATTTAGAAGCAATCAATGTAATCCACCACATTAAAGGTACTATTTTATATATCTATATATGAATCTACAGTTATTTTAAAAAGATTAAAGAAAACCAAAAAAAGAAAGGAAAAAAGAACCTGCCCCCATGAAACTAATAGGAACATACTACAGTGTTTTTTACCTACTGCCTTAGAAATATGTAGAGTTTATTAAAAGTTAATTCCTTAAGTCTAATAGGATTAAGTTTGTAAGGTTCTCAGTGATTCTGACAATTAGCCAAGTGTGGGAACCACAGGGCTAGAACGCAAATATGGACAAAAAGGGTCTTAAGGGGACGCCAGGAGAAAAGCTCTCACGGCATTAAGGGATGAGGGAAGGTGCTCACAGGAGGAGGAACATGTCCACAGCATCGCACGAGGACGGTATGCCGAGCGAAAGGCCAGTGGGGGTAAAACACTGGCCCACATCAAGATGAGGTTCAGGAAACACAACGCGGTCTAGAAGGTGATTCATGTTTCCCCACGCTTGTCCCCAGATATCATACTACCTACGCGATTTATACATCTATGTTACATTCCCCATTAGGATGAAATCTATTTCCTTACTGCTCCATCCCCACGTCTAAAACAGCACCCAACATATAATAGGTAATGAATGAATGAAGAGAAAAAAGAGAAGAAAATACTAGAGAGGTAGGTTGGGGTGAAAGAAATAGCAACACCCTTCCCACCCCCAAATCAAAAAACCTCAAATAACAGGATGATGCTTGGCCTTAATTGGAACCTGAGGGTTAAATGTCAAGAGTACATATACTGGATCCCACGAGCAGATCAGTTACATTCTATCATAACTCGTGCCCCTCTTTTAAAGCTCCATTACTTTACGTGCCTATTCTATGTGCCAGGCTCTGTGCCAGGGGCCACACAGACATAATCTTTATTCTTCACCACCCTCTGAGGTGTAAGAGCTCAGTGACTTGCTCATGTCGCTTGGCTGGAAAAACGTCTAGTCCAGCATGGACCCCTGATCTACCCAACTTTAAAAGAACTTACCAGTTCTGCTGCATCAATACTGCCTAGTATATGTTAATAAGGTTCATTACGAACATTTATTTGCTTCATACATTAAAGTGTAAAGGACTCCTCAAAGAATTGCATGAAAAAAAACGGAGATTTTTCAATAACTCATGAAAAGTCAAGTACCTTGGTTGATGCCTGGTCATACTGTGCTGTCATTCTCACTAGTTCATCCCGACTTTTGTTCCAAACTTTCTCCTTTTCATTTAACTCCATTTTCGCTTTCTCCAGTTGGAGCTGTAATTCTTCACATTTATTCACTTGGCCTTTCATTTCTTTTTCTTGTCCTTGCAGACGTAGTTCCAACTCATTCATCTTGCTCCTTAGCTCTTAAATCGCAAACAAAACCCACACTTCAATGAATATATTTTTTTTCACAAAAATTTGTACAACTAAATTCAGAATATATCATTTATGTTCCTCTGCTCGGGAATCTTTGGTGAGGCAAATATGTCAATTAACATTAAACACAGAAGCTACTTTAATTGAATTTAATGTCAATGTTTAGCCCCTATTGTTATTTGTATTCAAATATCCTATAGAAAGCAGGAGAAACAAATTTTGTTATCACAGAGAAACTTGGGGGGGGGGGGGGGGGGGGGGGGGAGAATGCTTTCCTAAAACCGTGACTATTATCTAACTAATCAGGGCTGCAAAAAGTGCATCACATGTAACACCCTTATTTAAATTACCACTTGGTTTTATACACTGGCAGACATAATGTTTGTTTTGTGCCCATATCAATGTAAATAAGTGATAAGCAGTGAAAAATTCACCCTCCCCTATTCTCGGGTAGCTTTACCTCCAGTAAAGATCACGACAGTAGGAGCCTCGTATACTGCCAAAATTAACAACAATTTTTTTTCATTTTCCCCCCCACATACACACAATATTGGTTCCAATGGCATTGGCAATGTGACAGCTCTCACCAGTGAACACTGACGGTGATTTTCAATATATCATAGCACTGGAAATTATCATGGTCTGCAGCATAGATTCCAAAACGCCACCTGGTACCCTTCCTTGGCTGTCAGCTGCAGAGTGGTACAGCGGCCAAGGTTACAGGTTTGCTCCCATATGGACAACCTGGCAACGCAGTGCAAAGCTGTTGTGCAGACAGACATGGGCCACACCTCTGGCCAAAACTGGCCGGAACACAGGCTTGTTCCAAGGGGCACAAGAGGAGCCAGAGGAGAAGGCGGGGGGTTGTCAACCGTAACCAACTTACTCGCCCTGCTTCTGGAAGGACAAGTCAAAGCCACTCATCCTACTTTGGAAGACTGCAGGGCACCAGCTTCTGAGTACAAATCAAGGTGCGCTCCAAAACTGTGATATCTTTTCTCATTATCAAAAAGACAGAAGTTCACATCACCAGACTGGGATGTTGACCACCGATGGGTTTAACGAAACACCTAAGCACTTTCTAGGACTAAAAATGTCTGGAATCACCTCTGAAATTCTCTTGGGAAAAATTTAAACTTAATTGAGCTCAAGAAATTACCTTGATTCTGGGATTTTAATTGATCCAAAAGATGAGAATTGCCAGAATTATCACAGAAACTGCCATTAGCATCTCGTTTTCCTCCTTGCAACGTTGACCTGCTCGGAGTCACTTCTTGTTCCCCAGAAAAGTGAGACGCAGAAAACTCCCTCCTACTCGGGGTTTGTAGAGCACTGGATGCAAGACGACTTGGGGTCTTTTCCTGCTGCCATGAGAACACCGACGACGAGGCCTGGTGTCGGGCAATGTCCCGGTGATTCATGGTGCTTTGGGGAAAAGCCTGGCTCGCTTTCTGGAAAGACAGGAACTCTTGAGAGCCCTCTAGAAGTCACAATATTCAAGACTACTTATTTTCAAATAGAACATAAAACCGTGTCAAGAAGTTAATGCTTCTACTGTGTACCAAGAAAGAACATTCATCCAGTCAGGGGAACCAGTAAGTCCCAATATACCCAGAGATTTTCTAATGGTCAGGCTTCGGCACTGAAGGGTTAAGCCGGTACGACTGAGGCTCGACTTATTTGAAATGGGCTGTTTTTGTATTTATTTCGCATCCCCCAAATACTCCATTAAACACATGTTGAGTATTCACTGCCATTTTGAGTTCTAAAAACTTGATTTTTCTTGTGCCTACCCTGGGTCACCTCTCTCTCTAGCTTTGCACAAAGAGAATCAAAATTAAATATTAACCTAAAGAACTCTTTCAAGAATCTCACTTTCCACCATACCACACCCCTCCAAAATGTCACATAAGGTATTTCATGTTATGTAATACACATCTGTGGGTGTTCTACTGCTTTGAGTTCTTCTTTTGTTCTTTTCCTGCCTCCATTCTGAGAAAGACATGGCTGTGGACGCTGCGTTGCATTTTTACAGCAAGTGCGTTCCTTGCCACAGAAAGAGGCTTAATGTTCATGGACACTCACATTCCTCCACAAAGTAACTCTGAGAACCAAGGTCAGGGGCAGAATTGACACGAATGACTGAACTGGAGAACGAAGCACATGATATTTTCTAGGACAAACCAGAGAATTACTGTTTAATTTTTATTCACCTTACTAAGCAATGTGTTTGCTATATATCAAAATTCTGTGACCTCAAAACAACACATAAAGGAGCAAAAAAGAATTAAAATTGTTAAATCTCTAATAGGTATTTTTGATCTTCAATATTTATGGTATCTACTTATAAATTCAGCCTTAAACTGTTGGCTGAATTTTGCCATCTCTCCAAGTTGTTATGTTTATTGGAAATACAATATGAAATGTCACACTGGATTTTTTAAAAAGCCAATAACATCATGTGAGGAGAAGCAGTAAAGGGAAATTCTGTAGATACCAGGTTATTTTCAGGGTCAGTCGTTAGCTAGAAGCAAGGCTTTCTAAAACCCTGTGTTTTGTTGACAAAGCACATTTTTTCACCTGCCTCTCACCGCTTATTTACCCATGTCAACATGGAGTTTAAAACCCTTGTCAGCAACTGACTTAAAAGAATTGGGGAGATTATGTTGATGACATTCTCCTCTGAAATACACATTTCATAAATAAGGATTCTCAAACCCCAAGTCCCGGGTGCCAATCACCACAGTCCATTAGAAGAACTAAATATGAAGCCATTTCCTCCAGGTGACAAAGCCAGAGGGTGTCAGGAGTAATTGGTGCAACCTCTCCAAATTTGTTTCTTATCATTATATCTTAACAGGGAAATCATTATATCGCTACAGTTTCCATGGAATTCGGTGAACATGGAATATTTAGGGATTAAATAATCTCCCCACTTTACTTTACTCACTCTTTATCTGTCAGTAAATTAAGAAATATCAAACCAGTGAGCCAGGAACTTGAGTTTCTCAGTGTAAATAAAATGAGCCGGCCCTGCGTAAAGCAGATTTTTCTCTAACTTTATTCTAGCTTATATCAGTGTACTTCAACTGCACACTCTGTGAGAAGGCCCGTAATTAACTTACTTTTGCTTGCAAGGCTTTCACCTCTGCCTCTAATCTTTTTCGTTCTTCAACTTCTTTATTATATTTTTCTTTTAGATCTTCATATTTGGAACCTGAACACAGATAAGGAGATAGCTTTCCTTCAATCACTGATTTAATGAAGGAATTCACAGATTAATAATCATAACAACAGTCTAGAAATAGTATTTGAATACACCTGAAGGAGAGAACACTTGTTAGGGCAACAGATGTGGATCACATTACTCAAATATCAAAATACATGGAGACATAGGGGTTTTGGCTATTCTGAAACATAATCATAGAAAATTGAAGAGAAGAGTTAAAAGGCTTAACCTAATGGTTCAATGCAGTTCAACGGATACACAAATGTACATAACCAGTAGTTGCATTTTTTTTTTAATGCCCACATTAGGAGTTGAATTCAAAGTTGAATTATTTCCTTTGGGAGAATTAAAATCTCAATAAAAGAGCTATTCACACGAAGGGAAAATATCCTTACCGCTGTAATATTGACTTGGCGTCAGAGGCGTTGAAAAAATTTTTTGTGGTGTAGTGCATGGATTCAGAGAGACATCTGCAGACTGTGCAGCTTGTTGGCTTCTTTCAAGTTCAGATTTACACCTGTTAGAAAAGGACCCCAGAGGATGCCAAATCAGAAGAAAAGCCACAGAACACCAATACCACACAGTCCCAGAGAGTCATAAGCTTACAGAAAACCCACCTTCTAAGAATTCTTGACACTTCACTCACCCACCAGACATTTAATAAGAACTTAAGTGACATAAAATCAATCCCCTGTCTTCAAAGAAGCTCAGTCTAGTTAGGGAAATACATATAAACCAATCATTACAATGTCATAATAAAGGCTATAATGAAGAGCTGACATACTCACTATAGCACAGAGTACAGTTGGGAGGTTGGGGATGTTGTATTCTAAGCCAAAGAAAGACACAAGGATATAAAAGAACCCAGGATTTGAGAAGCACAGGAAGAAGCTGGTGACCCTGACGCATGGGCTCAAATCACAAACCCGGATGGCACACTTATGATATTAAGTCATGACAAAAGCATAGACTTGAAAATACATATCATGTATTTTATGACTTTTTTTTTTTTTTAATAGCTGAGCCATCCTTCCACTTGTTGGCAGCTCAGCTCGGGCTGGGACTCGAACCGCTGTTGCTGAGAGCTTGCACTCTTGAGCAAGCTCTTAACCAAATGACATTTTTAAAACAGATGAACATCAAGTTAACATAATGCATCTAGAAAAACAGATAGCTGGAAATAGTTACAAAGAAATAGGGAAAGTAAGCAATATATTGTATATATGCACAGAATATCCCTACCATTTAAGCTCGGAACACCTTTCAGAATCAAACCACCTAAATTAAAAGAGGATTCAATTCTTACAAGTCTCTAACGTCTCTGAATTTAGGCTAGCCCAAGAAAGAAAATGAACACCCTATTAGAGTGGTAATAATGTGCATCGTTTTTTTTGCCATGGATGCATTCCTCAAAGAAAGAAGGGAAGAAAGTGCCTTAGTGCCCTAGCTCCACCCAGGACCAAATTCAATCTGGGAAGAAAGAAGCAACATACAGGCTGAAAATGACTATTCAGCCAATCAAAACATCACATTCAAGCTCATAGTAGGTAACAGCACTGTCCAAGAGAAATGTTCTCTCAACAAGACAAAAGTAACAATACTTTTTGTTACTGTGAATTTGTTAAGTGAATTTCATCTTAATATTTTATTTAACTCAATGTTTTCAAAATACTGTCATTTTAACTGGTCAGCAATAACTCAGTGTTTTCAAAATACTATTATTTCAACTTATAATCAATAAAATATTATTAAGTTATTTTACTATCTTGTACTAAATCTTCAGAATTTGGTGTGCATTGTGTGCTTACACCACATCTCAATTTGCACTAGCCACATTTCAAGTATTCAGTAGCCACATGTAGTCAGTGGCTACCATACTAGACAGTGCAGGTCCACAGATGACCAAACGTGTAACACGGATGGTGATTCTAGAGATGAATTTTGAACCTTGCAAAATTGGTGTTTCTTTTCCTTCTCAGATTCACATCTTACTTTCTTTTCCCTGTTCTTGCATTAAAAAAATTATGAAAGTTCTTTTATTTTCAATATTAAATAAAAGTATACCCTGTTATTTTTATAAACTTCTGTTTCTTCTTTTTCCTAGGGAGGAAAACACAAACGTCCACCACCAAAAAAAGCAAGCTGTTTTCTAGTAGGTTTAACTACACGAGATTGCCCATACTCAACAGTTTTTGATCACCATTTCAAATGGTTCTACCTAACGTGTTCAAGACGTTTCTGAAAGCTAATCTGTGGCTGCTGCATGTGAAGGTTACCAGGGAGAATTTTTAAAACTACACAACAGTTTTCGTAGTCCATAGTTTTTATACTCTTAATAATTTCTATACTATAGAAAACCATACTCTTAATAGTTGTATGGTCTAAAATTTATATAGTTTATCAACTTCTATAAACATCGTACCCACATCATAGGAAATAAGAATATTTTTAAACTAAACGTGGCATGGGGGCATCCTAACTCCATGATGATGATAATAATAACAACTGGTAATAATAATGCTAACATTTAACAGTAGCTCTGTGTCATATGCAACCCTGAGCACTGTATATGAGCAAGTATTGCTACCAACTGGCACTTTGCAATGAAATATACAAACATATACAAAGTATCCTTTCCTTAAATATTAAAAATACAAACATTGCTGTCTAAATTATTAAAACTAGTATTTCTAAAACCAGCAGCCAAAATGTGCTTTGCAAAAAAATAATTATTCCAGCATACTGAGATGGGCTTCCTATTTCTCTAGCACGTTTTCCAAAACGAATGCCTACCTTTCACTCACTCAGTAAATATCTGAGGCCCTACAATTGCCAGGTGCTAAGCATAGTGATGAACAAGACAGACAAGATTCCTGTTCTAGGAGTTTGGGATGACAGACCATAAACAAGAAAACAAAACACTCAACGGGGATCCAAGTTTATTTATCATCCTAACATGCATCCAAGATAGCCACCTTCCTACGTGGCCAGGAAACAAAGTTAGAAAAAGATTCCTGACACTAAGAAAGCATCAACTAAGTGCAATGTGGAATACTGGGTCAGATCCTGGAACAGAAAAAACCCATTACTGGAAAAACTAGTGAAATTCTAATAAAGTCCATAGATAACAGTATTGAATCAATGCTTATTTCTGGCTTGGTCATTGTACTTTGGTTGTATAAGATGTTAACAACTGTTTCTGTAAGTCTACAGTTATTTCAAAATAATTTTTTTTTTTAATTTCTGGGTGTGTGTTTGCAGGCTCAACAATGGAGCAATTTGCTAAAGTCCTTTTTGCTTGAGGCTTTATGACTCCTTGTTATTTTGACAAAATGCCACTATTACAACAAGAAGACACCATTCATAATCTAGCAGTGTTTGGGTCCCACTAAATTTGATAATGCCTCTAGTGCAGCGGTTCTCAACCTTTCACAGGGGTCGCCAAGACCATCGGAAAACACATATTTTCGATGGTCTTAGGAACCAAGACACCGCTCCTCTATCCATCTCCAGGCCCACATGCAGATACGCCCACATACGAGTACCTGAGTACCCGGCGACCCTTGTGAAAGGGTCGTTTGACCCCCAAAGGGGTCACAATCCACAGATTGAGAACTGCTGCTCTAGTGGTTTGGGGGACTTTTGTTTTAATGGAACAATAGTAATAAGCACCTTTTTTATTGTTTAAATGTGGTACTGAAACCGGCAAATTACTATGTAATGATTAAGATCCCTCTCAGATGGAGATCTCAGGAGGAACCTCTTCCTGACTTCCCTTCCCTCCCTTTTCAGCTTAGATTCCAGGGCACAGGACTTGAACCGCTCTCTTCCCAATACCCTCAAGCATTCCCTTGTCTTCTATCCCATTTACTCTATCCCAAAACAACCCTAAGTCAATCTGGTTCACCTTCTCAGCATTTACATCTCAAATGCTAAAGAAAAAAATCAACTCTGTAGATTGGCCCCATTATAAATTCCGGGTCTCCAACTTCCACCGGGCCCTCAGGGTTCCTAAGTCATTCTGTAATTCTCTAGTTCTCTTTCTCTACAACAGCTTTTCCACTCGGAAAAAAATATAAGCCATCTGTATAAGCCATGCTTTCACTTCCCTCCATCTTTCCAGTAACCACAGTGGATAGTTTTGGTATTATTTATTATTGTATCACGGGTAACACAGTGTCTGGCACATGAAGCAGCTTAATAGACATATATTAAATGAATAAGTGAACAACCATTTAATCAATTTATATAGTATTAAGTCATGCAATGATAGGAGTGAAGGATATAAGAAAAGAATTTCCCTCAGACTGTTTATTCCACTGGAAAAAATATACACAGAGGGTGTCCAAAAACTGTATACACATTTTAAGAAAGGAAAACTATATTAAAATTGCAATACTCAATATATACCGGTAACAAAAGATGAATACAAGTCACATTTGACTTCTGCAATTACAAGAGGTGCTCAAAGTGGTTACCATCAGTGTCCAGACACTTCTGATTACGGCGAACTACTGCTTGAGCAACGTTGATCCAAGTGTCCGCTTGTATACATGTTTTTGGCACCCCCGGTATATATAATCGCAACGTATAATAATTACATCATTAAAGGAAAAGATAAATGCATCTGAATATATACAAAGACATCTGTATAAATACCATTCAAAAAACAATTACCTTTTAAGTTCCTGTTCCAGTTTTTCTATTTGTTTTTTGCTTGAATTCAGTTGTCCTTCCTGGAAATTCACTTGAGACTCCTTGACTTGAAGTTCATGAGAAATCTTCTGCTTAGCTTTCTCCAGATTTTCACATATTTCCATCAAGCTTTGGTTCTCCCTTTTCAGGTTTGTTCCCTCAGTTTTTTCATTCTCAACCTAATGGGGAGTGTTCAAAAGGAAAGAGATCTCTTACTTTGTGACTTTACTAAGTATTATTTGCAGATCTGAGTTTAACACTGACAATTTTCTGAGATATGGCTGTAATAATCCGGCTATCCATGCTTGATGAATGCAGATATTTAAGATGACCTCACTTTAAAGCCTGTAGAGAGAAAAGCGCCACAAAGTCATGTATTATATTAGACTTGGTCAGGGCTATGTGTACCAACCCTAGAAAAAGAGGCTTTGATATACTTTTAAGAATTAAAAAACCAAAAATGAGCCCTATGAATAACCTCCCTTAGCAATTCAATATCAAGTTTGACTGCTAAAACCATTTATTGTCAGAAACTGGAAAATACTCCCACTAGTAGAAACATTTTAGAAGCAGTGACTGTAGCACTGCTTTGTTGGTTAATGCAGCGGTAAAAAAGAAGTACTATTTAAGTTTTCGTTTACTAGTCCTGAAGACACATGGTCTAGGAATGTCAAGGTGAAAAGCCCACTCCCAGAAAGTGAGAGCCAGTTGGACTGCAAAGTGCTCTAATATTGTCCCTCAGATTCAGAGCTAGACCCCTGTTGGTGTGGAATGCAAAAGCAATTCCCAAATCATGGTCCCAATCGGAAGTTAAAATAGAACTCAGCCGCCGTAAATATTAGCAAGTGAGCAGACATGAGGACAGAGGATGGAGAAAATTAGGTAATTAAAATGACTCAAATAAGGAGGGGGTTATTACCACCCAAAGATAGTGAGATCGTTTTTCTCTCAATTTAAAAGGCCAAAATGAAACAATCCAGAGAAGGAGCGAACAGGTTTACTGAACTGTTGCATTTCAACGGTACCTTCTGTTTTTGCTTCTGCAGTGCAGCCTCCAGAGTTTCAAGCTGAAACTGCCGCTGCTGCCTTTCCTTCTTCAGTTTGTCGAGCTGTCCTTCGAGCTCTTGAATTTTCTGAAGAGCTTTTGTAGGCAGGCCTTCCTTCCATTCTTCCCAAGCCCAGCTCATTTTGCTCTCCTTTCTTTATTATTCAAACATCTGTCAATAAACTGAAAATAACGAGATTGTTGGTTTTATTATAGCAAAAAAGAAACTTAAAGCCTCCGAGACTATTGAGTCTACAGAACCACCCCTAAGAATCAAGTTTGAAAGCTTCACATTTCAAAAGATAACGAAGTCTAACATCTATCTTCTCCATCCTCTGAAAAGTGATTACCAATAACTCTGACTGTGTACATACTATGCTTGTTTGGGGTCCCCTTGCTTTGTGTCTTTCTCATTTCTCATTTTCTTACTTCCTACTTATATGGCTACTTGCTTCCTACTGCTCAGTTTCTTTTCATTATACCAAACATGGATATTTTGCCATAAGGTTTCTGGTAAAATAGGTCCTATAAACAAATAAAACTCATGGCAAGTTAATTTGCAAATGTTCCTTTCCCCTCATCAGGTGGTTAATTCCCATGGCTCTTTGTCCCTCTTCCTCTGGGAAGCCTTCCCTGGGGAAATCCATAATCCTGTCATATCTCCTGGTCATAGTCTCCCAAGGCACAGGTGCCCTGCCGCCTTCCAAGTAGTTCTCATCTGTTGAATTAACGCATGAATGAACCAAGAGTGAATGCCATATTAGTACTAGAATCATTACAAAATGTGGCGAAGTCATTCTGTGGACAGACCTTGACCAGGAAACAGGTGTATAGCCTCAGTGATTCAGTTCCCAGCTCAGCCACCTACAAAATGTGTGACCTTGGGCATGTTGTTTAACTGCTCTGTGCCTTGGTTTCCGAGTTTACAAAATGGGGATAATAGTGGTGGCAACTTCCAAAGCCTTAGAAAGGTATCTTCCTTCTGTAGATGACAGCTATCATATTAATCCTTGAAAACACTTTTTCATATCTATATTTCAGCCTATGGTACCAAGAGGAAAAAGTGGGCTACCTCTTTCTCTGCCACGTCTTAGGAAATTTAAATCAGCTGGGAGAAAAAGCATGGCAATTGTTCTTTATTCATTAGCCTTTAGCACTGAAGTGAAAGAAAAAGCGTTCATTTTCCAGTTATTCTGGCAACAAGGTGAGAATTCACTTTTTACTAAATTAAATCCACAACCATCTTAGTGTTTTGTTTCAAATGACTTTATCAATGAATTCTTGTATCAGAACAACTAATAAACAGTTGATGCAAGTACTCAGAATAAAAAGCTTTCCAAAAATTAAGAGAGAGAAGCAAAAGTCTTGGAAAACATAATTCGGATATCAAGCTTTGGAAAGCTGTGTTTTCTCTGCCAGCTAAATTTGTTTGTTTCCGGATGTCAGTTCTTTGAACACAGCATCTTAAACTCCACTCCTATTTGCCCAAAAACTATTGAAGGGAGTCTCAAGCCTCTCCACCAACCAAAGGACAATTTACACTGTCCCAACAGGCTGTTGCATCCATTCCAATCTAGTTTGCTCATTCAGGGGTGGGACTACATACCCCAGAGGCACATAATTAGAACTGAACTCAACAATCCTGCCAGTCACTGAAATCATTACATCGGCTTCACAGCCAACCAAATATAAAAAGGAACAACTGAGAAAGATACAGATGAGAGAAATAAATAGAAGACTGGGTTTTCATTTCAGTCTAGGTCACGGCTACAAATAAGTGGTTAAAGCAATTGTCAGACAGAAGCTAATTTTGATTAGAGCAGACTTTGACTCATGAAGGCATCAACCATAAACAATCTGTATGAAGCTACCGAGGCAAAAGGAGAGAGAGAGAAAAAAGTAAACCTCAAAAGTAAGATATAAGGGGCAAAGCATGGAAAGTGGGGGTGGGGGGAGGGGTGAAGTAAAGCCCAGGAAGTCAAGGTTCCTGCAAGGAGGATTTGCAGGGCTAGGATCCTTTCCAGAAAATGCTCTTTCTATCTCAAATATGTGGAGGACACGCTTCGTGCCCAAATCACCCAACCCTGTGAAGTCCCCGAGGAACTGCTAGGGTGACTCACCCACCCCCAGCACTGCGGGCCCGTCTGCACTCTTCCCCTTTATCATAATCTCCCTTCTTACCAAGAAACCCGAATCCCTGCCTGCAGTGTGACCGCTGAGCCTGAAAATAAAAACTCTGCCCGGCTCCTCTACATCAGGCTCAAGAACAGGGCTCCGGTCACTTATTTACGGGTCCGCATAACCTAGCAAAGTAAGGCGCACAGGCGCTTGCAAGTGGAAGGCAAGAGTGAAATGCTCTCGCGGCGAAGAGACGCACCAGCCCGCCGCCCAGACCAAAACCCCAGCTTGCGTCTCCTCCATGCAGCAAAGGACCGACGTCCACGTTTCAAATAGGAGCCACTGGCTCCTGGACCTGGAAAGCTGCTGGGAAATACCTGATCTCCGATTATTTTACCTTACAAGAGTTGGAAACTGATCCCCCCAAAAGTGCGAGTTCGTGACTCAGCAGGGTCTCCGGACACTAGCGCGAGCACCACTTGACTGGAACCAGCTTCTCCAGTCGGGTCAGGGGGGAGGGGAGGGCCATCCCACAAGCATCCCCGCCCACGAGCCTCCGGCAGAAAGCCAGCGGTTCCCCCACGCCCGTTGCCGGAGCCGGGACCCAGTCAGGATGCTCACCTTGCCAGCGGGGAAGGAAAACTACCCCTTAGAGAGTCGGGTTCCGGTGCAGCCTCCTCGGCTGAGAGCCCACGTTCCAATTCAAACTGCCCGCGGCCGCCTCCCGTCTTTGATTCGCCCGCTTCCGGTTCCGCCCAAACTCGCCTCCAAGCTTATTGGTCACTGTAAGCAGCGATGGGCCAATCCGCTTCCGCGCACTCGGACTGCCGCCTTTGATTGGTCGTTTCGGATGGATTTAAAAATCAAGCCCTCACCACCTGAAGTGCCGGCGCTGGAGTTACAGAGCTGTTTTGTTGTTGGGAGGAGGCGGAGACCACGTGCTTTTGCTGGGGCTGGAGGAAGTTTTGAACCGTTGTTTCCGCAGAAGCCTAGGGATGGGACAGCTGACTATCGCCGGGAGCCAGCGGGAGAGTGCTCCCTGGTGAAAACTCTTAATACTGCACATACATTTCTACTTATTTATTAAATATGTAATTTAGGGCGTACATACTGGGTGCTGTGCTTGCTGTGTATTTTTCATCCGGTGTCATTGTTAACACTTCTTTCAGACAAGCCTTCTAATTTATTTAAAAATTAACTGAGCCACATAGAAACTATGTAATTTGAAATTAAACCTAAAACACGAAAGGGCCTCTTAACGACTGGCCCCTGCTGATTATTTTCTCAAGAGTAATTTAGGAACACTTGTTAGCTGAGATTCCGCAGGAGGACATTGTAGCCCAAACTGGATATAGTCTCTCCCTTTCCTGAAGTCCGCTGTTTTGTGTGTATTTATGTACCTGTTTTATGTACTTATTCAACTAAAAAGAAGCTTCTAAAGGCAAAAGCAAAACAGAGAATTATTAAATTAATACTATATATCTGATGCTGTTGTCCTTGCTAGATTCCAATCTCTCCGCAAATCTCGCTACCTTTCCTTAGCCAGTTACCCCCGCCTAGACTGCCCCTACCTTTCACCGAAATTCTGCTCCTTCAGTACCTAATTCAGCTTTCTTCTAAAACCCCCCTATTCTCTTCCACTCCTTAGAAATAATTATTTCCTAGAAATATACTGCTTATACCTTCTATTTGGATCTATGTTTAGCTGCCCCATCAGACTCAAAAAATCCTGTAGAGCAAAAATCTGTTTTAATTCATCCTCACATCTCTAATAACTACCTATACTTTTGCACATAGTAATTTAAAAATAAGGCCATCTTGGGCCTGCCAAGTGGCTCAGTTGGTTAAGGGCTCGAGCTCTGAGCAACAGGGTCACCCATTTGATTCCCACATGGGCCAATAAGCTGCACCTGAGCTGAGCTGCCAACAGGTGGCAGGATGGCTCAGCTGGTAAGAGCATGTGCTCCTAACAATAAGGTTGCCAGTTCGACTCCCACGTGGGATGGTGGGCTACGCCCATCCACAACTAAGATTGAACACAGCACCTTGAGCTGAGCAGCTGTGAGCTGTTGCTGAGCGGGTGGATGGCGACTAGACTTGGAGCTGAGCTTGCTGCGCCCTCCACAACTAAGACTGAAGGACAACAACTTGGCTGTTCCCCTTCCCCAATTCTCCAACACTGTTCCTCTTCCCCAATTCCCCAATAAAATCTTTAGGGAGGTAAAACTACCATCTGGAGAAAAGCCTTGTTCTCCACTATCCTTGAATCCCCAAGGAAAAGGAGGAGGGAGCAGGTAGGGGAGAAGAACTTTTATTGGACATTGCCTTGATCAGTTTATTGTAGTATCTGGTCATTCTGGGATTTGAACGACATTCTGACTCCAACACCAATTATAGTTTCATTGCTTCCCCGGGTAATTATTCAACTATTTATTAGCTGCCTAAGGAAAACACAACTATATAGAAAGACATGTAATAGAGGATTTTCAAGGTTTGAATGAGAAGTTCACGTTTACTATTCATTCATTCATTCATTCATTCATTCATTTAGCAGGTAGTTATTGAGTGGCCACTGTATAGCCAAAGCTGTGCTACATTCTTCTATAATAAACAATAAAGAAATACATTCACTTGTGGAACAAGGAAATCATGTGATGGAGACTATTCTAGCAACTTCTGTGATATTTCTGTGACTTCAATTTTATGGTTCCCTCTATTTTTCCCAATTTTGTTTTTTGTTTTGTCTTAGGGGCTGAAGCAAGGTGAATCCCATCCAACCAAATATAGATGTCTTTTGAGAGTCTATTTTCTGCTCTCTGCCCTTCTCTCTCTCTCTTTTTTTTTTTTAAATTTTATTGGGGAACACCAGTGGTCATTGGTTACACGTTGCTTTCATGCTACAATGGCATAGTTGACTCTTTTAAGGAGGGCACAGCTCACAGTGGCCCATGTGGGGATCGAACCGGCAACCTTGGTATTATCAGCACCACGCTCTAACCAACTGAGCTAACTGGTCACCCCTGCCCTTCTTTTTAAATCCACTCCCTCACTGAGCCAGTCTACTTTCTCTGGATTGTTCATCCACCATCTCTACTTTCTGCCTATGAATCAGTGCTTTTTGGTTCCAGCACCAGGCAAATAAATTAGACCAGCTGATGCTGGCCACGGATGGGGAAATCCAGAATGGGCAACAAAGCAGAGAGTTGACGAATATGAGCCCTGACCTCTGGACCAGTTGTAATAGCAGGAACCATAGCTCATTCCACTAAGTCTCCTGTACAGTCTTTTTTAGAGATTGTGGCCACCACATTGATGGTACAATGACAGAGTGAACTTAATACAAGGACAAGTGGATCTAAGCAGGGTAAAGTGCGGTCTATAGCAAGGACTTTTATGACATCCCCTTGGCCCACCTTGATAGCAGCCACAGCTGTCATAGGTACACTGTTCTGTGTGGGCTCTGACTCTTTCCACCTCAAGTGCAAGCCATGGATCGCTCTAGCTCTTCGGTCCCAGGCTTTCTCCGAGGCTGAAGGAGCCTGCGAAGCCAGTACACAAAGAACAACCAGGCAATGTGGGTGCAGTTATAACTTCCAGGTGCAATCCTCAATGAATGTGTCGGGAACTAGGTGATAAATAAATACCTTAGTACATCTTTCACACGGGCGATTCTGAGAGATCCCGGAAGAATAAAACCCCTGGCACCTACTGCAACAATTGTGAAATAGCACCCTTCTCCTGGCTTTTCCTCCTTCCCTATCTCACTCTTCCTGCTCCCCACTTAGCTTCCTGGAATCATCACCCAAATAAGCTTCCATCCAAATCTTTATCTCAGTCTCTGCTTTGGGGAGAACCCAAACTAAATGGAAGGTGTCATACACGTATGATTTATTTATTTTGACAAGTGAAAAATCCATCTTAGTTTCCCAAATGTTTCAAAAGCTTCTGTTATGTAGGCAGAACGTCAGCTACCTCATCTGTGAAATTAGAAGTGTAATCATAATGTCTGGTGCTGGTGGTTTTAGGCCAAAGGTTTCTGATAGATCAGGGGCACGCTTTCATGCTTGTTTTGTGCATATCTGGGCTTCTTTTGACCACAGAACCATGAATTTAATAAATTCTTTGGGACAAGAATGTCGAAGCTTGACATTAAGGGATTTTTTTTTTACCTCTCTAGGAAAAAAATGGAGGTGAATATTACACATTCAACATATTAGTATGATTTAAATAAAGTTGATTACAAGAAAATAAATATTCATCCTCTTGGTATGTTTTGAGGAAATTGATTACAAACGATGTGGACACTATTCAGTGGTATGGACGAAAACACAAGGAAAAAGACCTTAAACTTTGAAAAGGCGTTTTCTATTCCCACCACTAGGTGATTCCCTATGCCTTGGAAAATCTTTAAAAATACCTACTGTTCCACATACCCTGACTCACTGCATTCTCTTTTCTAGCTCCCTCTGTCCCTTCCCTCCGTATAGCGAATGTTCTTGTTTACTCTCTTTAAAATAACATTTGCTTGTTTAAAGTAGAGGAAAATAACAGAGAAAAGAATGGTCATTATCCTAATGCTTATATAATCTTTCTTATTAACAAAGTAACAAAATAACCATAACACATGCACATGATAAGAAATTCCAAACATTCCAAAAAGATATAAAAGATGAATTTGGGAAAACGGAGAGAACATGAGAGAGCCACGAGACTACACTCCTCATTTTGGTGCTGAGTTCAGTGAGATTAAGATGTTTCTAAAAATGCACGCAAGTTACAGGCCAAAAATATGCAAATAAGGAAAACAGTTTAATCAGATAAAACCTCATCATTCTGGGATCAATTACCTCACAGAAATTCAAAACATATTCTTATGACCCTTGCAATAGTCATTTTTATGAAGTAAAATAATTTGTATAGTTTTAAATTTTCAGTAGCATTTCCTAGGGGGAAAAAATGCTTACTTAGTGCTTATTTCTTCCAAAGTATTAAAATCAACATTTATTGTATTTTTTTTATTCCTTGCTTGGAAACCTGATTGTCAAAGAAAGTGGCTGGTACAGATCCAGGTTTCCAGAAAGACAATGATATAGCCAAAAATAAATCTCCCACCTTGCAAGTTTGCTAAAGGAGATGATAGTATTTATTATGACAAGATTAAATTTAAGTTCAATTTGTCTCTAGCTCACTTTCAATAATCGTTTTGATGCAGGCTAACCATGAAATAAAGTGCATGATTCTCCCAAGCTCTATGATCAGGTGTTTGACACCTTGGAATAAAAATTGAAGGAATTCTCTAAACTAGGAAAAAAACTTCAGTGTCCCTAAGAATATTACGGAAAGCTTTTCTAAAACGCAAATTTTGAGGCTGTCCGTGGTTCTAATTTAAAGGTTTGGGGTGGAGTACAGAAATCTTTTTATGAATCACCCTGTGGTCCATAGATAAAGTGAATACACTTCCTAGTTGATTTCT